ATACTTTAATTTCCAAACATATATGTGCCGCTGGAAAGATGGGCATGGGTGTGATTTTTTCCTGCATTTTAACGTATATAATGAGCAATAGAATACAAAACGTCCGCGATTATTCTGAGAGCTCTCCACACAAAAAGACAACAATGGTACCCGTACAATGACTAAGTTTAATTAATGTTTTTCGACGTGCCTATTCCCAGTAATCGGCCACTGCTATTACATTAACGTACAAAGGCCTACAACATAATAAAGTCATCTTCTCTCATCTTCTATGGGTATCTCTTGTTGGACTCGATGAATCGTCCCTCTTCATTGTAATAGGAAAGCTCACAGTTGACACAGCGTGATGTCATGGTGTTTTACATGCATATTGAACTTAATCAGTTGGAAAACAAAACGATATTTGAGAACGTTCCTTCCAACATCGCAATTGTATTCGTTCCAAAAGCACTTGCAGGTTACAAGGTGCACAGAGAAATCAAGCCAGCAAGCCTGCAATCAAATTGGCTCTGTTGCTATTCATAAAGACCAAGATAAATCACTATGCAGCACTGTTATCGATTGCCCGGAGGCATGAAGGTGCTGTATTGATAACGTGTATAGATCATTGTCACTAGCCCTGCACTTCAGAGCACGCTGTACACTGGACAAGTCTTCACAACTGTGGACTTTATACATTGAAGTTGATTTCGTTACGTTATAACTGGTATATTAGCACTGAATTCCTTACCTGCTATCATAAGAACCACAAATCCAAATACTGGCAATACTGCAAGACGCATCATGGTTGCTGAATCTTCAGTCAGGTTGACCAGTTTCAAAATGTGCAAAGTTTGTACTGTGTTAATGTAATGAACGCTGAAGAACGAGGAAATAAATTCAGAATATTAACGCTGCATTTTTTTGGTTTCAGTTCTTATTTTGATCCTTTCCTTCTGGTGATTGTGTATGATAAAACAAAACTTCCTGGTATTGCACCCACTCGAGGACAACGGGATTTTCCAATTACAAAATATAGAGCGTGAATAGCAACTCACGCGACGAATTTTGGGGACCTTCATGTATGCCTCGCCGAAGGGTATCGCCATTTTACCGTCTGGTGTTTGGGTGGACTAATACGTTACCTACTGAGTGCATTTCACTAACCTCAATTTAGTATCGGTATTCTTTACATTAAATGGAGGAAAACACGTATTAAGATTTAAGGAAGGGAGAGAAAAAAAAGTTACTTTTTCTTTTACTTTTCACTTTCAGTGGTGTCTGGCCTTGTAAACGTACAATTTTTTGAGAATGCTCTCGTGAGAACACTAGTTTTAGTTTATGCTTTTACCTGCAGCAGCCTAGTTTATAGATTTAAGTATATATATGTATTTTTTTTTTGGCCTATGCCATTAAAACTTATGGACATAATTGTAAGCATTAAGCTATTTCTTCTTGGGGTCACTCATTGTATTTTAGCATCTTGTGTATTAAAATCCACTCATATCATATCACTTGCCAGCTTTCTCACAGGATAATCCATATAATGATGTTGTTAGTTTATAAGTTCCTAATGGCAAAGCTTCGTCATATTTCATGGACGTACTTTCTACCTATGAACCCTCTCACACTCTTCGATCCAATAACATCATACCCGCACTTGGGAAGACAAGTCATTCTCTGTAGCAGTACCTTGTAATCACTTACCCATTGACGTCAGAAATTCAGAAACTATCCACATCTTAAAACATCTCTCCAATCTCATTCCATGTCGTTAGCCTTCGATTAACTACTCTTGTTGTTTGCATTTTTATTGTATTTTTCTGCTCTTTCTCCGTTCAGTTTATGCTTATTCCCTTGTTGTTTGCTTGCTTGTAATTGTGCGAAGCGCCATCAGCACCTTTATGCTGGATGTGTTCTGTGCTTTATAAATGCCCCTTATCACTATTACTACGAAAAGAATTCGGCAGATAAAAAAGAGCATAATTTCGAGCACTTTTTATGGAATTGAGCATGTGAAAAAACTGCAGCATTGGACTTAAGTGCAGCCACATTAAAATGATTCAGATGATGCGAAAATATTTCGAGCGCACATTAATAAAACCTTTTTCGGAAATTATTTCCCAACGTTCCTTTTGTGGCTTCCGTAAACTGCGCAACCACAACTCACAAGTGCTGTTAATGGAATATTGTTGTTGGTTTGTGTACAAGGAAGTGGTATATACCGCTACATGCACATTCAAACCTGAAGCATGCTACGAAAACTACTCTTGCAATGGCAACCCCAGGTTAACTGGGGCGTGAGGTTTGTTAGGTCGTGTGTGAATCAACTGGCTGCTACTCGGGGCTGACTAATTACAAGTGAAGGTGTTTCTCTAAGCTGTGGTAATCCATAATTTCCCGTGTTTTCAGCCAAAACCTCACGGCAGCGTTGATCTGAACACAGTATTTCACGTACTCCATTTCCTCAATGGTTCCTAGAGGCAAGAGGGGATTTTTTTCCGAGCGCTGATATTCGTTTTACATTTTTCAAATGCTCATTTAACTTATTGTAGCATTTGATATGGGTGAGCATCAGGCCAAATATGGTGTCACCGGTAAAGTTGTCCCTTCAAAGACATCAGAAGACCATTGTTATTCCTTCCAAAAAGTGAAAGTGAAAGGATTATTCAATCAGTGTATTTTGAAAACACGCTAGTTGCCTCATATTGTTGAAGCGGATATTTGCCAATGTCGGGAGGGAAAACCGCTTGGTGTGAGCGGTGAGAAGCTCACGTTTACGTTAAAGAGGATCAGTGTGACTGTCTGCAACTCAAGATGCGTCCAAATAAATATGAAGCAAATTTCTGTCGACCCAATTTCTGTCTAGCAAATTAAAGATGGCTAATAAATTTTCATTTCAAATGAGGGAATGGCAGGGTGGCACAGGGGGGTACCAGGTCGCTAGGGAAAGGTTGCGCTACTTTGACGTGGACACTCAATTGATCAGATAATCTTTATTGAAAATACGCGTAGTATAGTAACTTGAAAGGGTTTTATTCGGAAAACGTTGCATTTTGCCATATAACAGTTAAACAAGGAGTCGTTGGTTAAAATCACCTCTCCACACACAAGTATTTTCCGTAATACAGCACTCCAATAAGATAAATATTCGTTTTACAGAAAACAGTTCATGAGAATCAAGCATGTTTGTGTAAAATATACCAAAAAAATTTGCCATCAGAATTCATAAAGACATAAAGACTGACCGACTAGGCAACTGGGAAATTGGCTCATCTTTTTCTGTATCAATATATTTTTGTAACAACAGTTAAAATGATTCAAAATCACGATTAATGTTAATTTCATATATAGTTTCACTTACTTGTTTATAAAAGTCACCTCCCCCCCGAAAACAGCTCAATTTGTGCTTGAAGTAACCCATACTAACGCATTCCAAGAATACCCCGACTAAAATCAATAGTTGGTCTAGAACCTAATTTTCAGAGTGCCAAACGTATTTCCTGGAGGGTTCAACTATTTTGATTTGTTATATGCAACCTTTAATGGCCTCCCTTAGCAGTAAACCTATAGCTACGCTTTTTGATAGATGGGTAATGATATGAACAAAAAAACCCTGCATTTGTCTCCTTTTTGAAACCATTTTCCTTTTGGGGGGGGGCATGACCCCATTGCATCACCGGCCTGGATCGGGCCACGGACTGCTATGTTTTACTGAACAAAACACATTTCTGATGATTGGATTTACAACCTGCCAACATGTGTTAACATCACAAAACCGTGAATGTGACATGCTCCACAAGTATCAAAGAACCAAAATAAAACTTTAAGCAACTTACAATACGGTGCGCCCAAAAGGTTTATCTCCACAGGGTCTCGTACTACAGAAGCATATAAGGGGAACTTGTAAAAAAAGATTCGAGTTACAATCTCGCCGCGGTGGGATATCAATTTTAAGCAGCAGCGAGATATATTAACTCACCACGGCGAGATAGAAATTCAACGATTTAAATCTCCGCGGCAAGATACATATATAAGTCGAATTTTCTTTTGCAATTGGCCCTTATACACTACCGTATTTTCTACCTCTCTGGTTGGCATACAATAACTGGACGACGCTCTGCCGGTTATTGCACTTAGAGATGGTGGACATCCAGCAAGTCAGACAGTGACATAACTTGAGTAAACGCATGGAAGGTACAGGCTGTGTTCACAGTTTTTCAAGGGGGCGCTATAATAAACAGTGGCTTGATGTTTACTGCAAACTGGAGGAAACGTTACCCCCCCCCCGGCTCTCTATAGTTAAACTACAAGATCAATGTAACAATTGAACGCGATCGTAGTATTCCAGGCGATCAGCAACATGTCCGTGTGGCAGGAATTTCATCCACAGGCTGCAAATAGACCTCAGATATTAGATCAGTAACAATTATTTATCAGGGAATGTGCGGAGAAAACACTTGACCGCTTCTTTTGTCGACGAGGCACATAAAGGTTAAGGGTCAAATTAGGGGCCATTGATAAAGTACGTACGCACAAAATGCCGACTTTTCAGACCCCCCTCCCCTGGCACGGGCGTTGGCACGGGGGGGGGGGGTAAATGGTGGGGTGGACGGGGGAGGATACTGTATTTGACTGGTTTTTCGACGCACAAAAGCTGATTATGGCATTTATTTGTATGAAAAAGTTTATTTATATGATGGAGATTCATTAATTAAAGGCAAATTTTCAGTTTGTGTACGGTACCCACTGGTTTGAACACCTCTCCCACCCAGTACGCACGGTGTTCGGCCTTTACAGAGTACATGCACTTGTAATTCGCAATCTAATCCAGTGTAATGGGGTATAAAGTTAGTTATTTAGTCAACTTCTCCAGTGTCATAATGGTGCTGCCACATGATGTGCGAAGTTTCTGGTTACGGCACAAGAATACGTCAAACTTCTGCAGAGCAGTTTAATATTCGCGCGTAATAACAATTTGATCCCACAATTGCATCGGATATGTTTCGGGTGATTTTCCAGAGGTCGTCTCTTTTATGAATACAGAACACGTTGGAAACTCCTTTTCATGGATCATTACATGTTTAATATATTTCGTTTGCATGTGGAAAATATAACAATATGGATATGAGAAAACACCAATCAATTTTTTTTGTATCAAGTGAACATCAGGCCAAACATGATTATTTCACGGTGAGAAATGTTACTGCTACTAGTAGATTTTTGTTTTGCTTTGTTTTGTTACTTCCATGCACTTATAAAATTGTGTATCACCAACGAATAGAAAAGTCAAAACAAAAATTGACGCCTCTTTTGTGCACAAATCAATGTAACATTCGGGTTTCCCGAATGATATTACGGCTTTGCTCCTGAATATAATTGAAAATACTCCTCAGCATTAAGCAGGTTCCACAAAAAGATAATTGCTAAAAGTCTACCTCATCGTGTGACCGTGATCACCTTGAAAAATAGATACAAATCCATCAGTCAATAAGACGCACATTCAGTAATTCATTTGCAATATCTATCCTTTTAAACTGTGGGAAATAATTATAACCATTCTGTTATACATTATAGGGATTTAAAAGATAATTTGAATAATGGTGCACTTTTGCTCGGGATGCAACCTCCTCCATCAGAGGAGAATGTTCACTTATAACTTTCTTGGAGCCTATCCAGGATATAATCCGTAGTTGGGTCGCGGAGTTTCCTCTCCGCCTGTTTAACCATTGGCTCGGATGTCTGGTACCGCAGATGAGGATTCTCACTGAGAATGATATCCATGTGGAGCTTAGCTATCTCATCAGCGCTTTGCATTAAAGCCGACATGCCAGACGTCATGCGTTTTACACCTTGCATGTACAAGTCTTTCAAAATGGGGTCAAAATTCTTTGCTTGTTCTTCAAGCGAAGAGTCCATGACCTTAGTCGCAAGCTCTGTCTTCACTGGCCCTGGCTCCACGATACTCACCCTGGTTACAGAAACAGTTTGAAAGGTACATTTTATATAAAGGCTTTTAAACACTGTTCCTACCATAGATTTTGGCGAAGTTCTAACATTACAACCTGTAACGTTTTAGTTTATTTGTTGGATTGGGTTTTTTTCGTAGGTGTGTTTGTTTGTTTTTTAGAAATCCCCACGCTTGAGTAACTTCCAACAAATCACAACGTAAGCATACCCAACGCTCATGAAATAACTTGCAAACAATACATCAATTGTGTACGGTGTAAGTCTTGATTCATTTGTGTTTTTAATTTTCTTATATGTTTTACCAGAAGCTCCAGTTGAAGCTGTTTGGTGAGTTTGCTTTACACGGTACTCTGAACAGTTTCTGCCCATATCTCACCCATTGGTTAAGTCGGCGTATTGATTATTTGCATGTAGCTTGGAGGGCAAGTGTGAGCTTTTCAAACGTCTACAAATATTATCACAAGAATCTGCGCAGTGCGGCCTCCATACCTTATATTATACCCATCTCTCAACACTGGGGCAATAGACTCAGAGAATCCTTCCATAGCAAACTTGGCAGCAGAGTAGGTGGCAAAGAAAGGAGCACCTGCGAGAAATACGTATTTCACTTTAAAATGACGGTACGCTATATCGATGCGGATAGTGGCAAGTGTTCGATAGGGTGTACTGTTTACGACAAGCATTTCTGCCTCCTCTAGCGTCTTCAAAGGCGACGCAACTACACGACGCGACGGCACGACGGCTCCCTTGCTTCGTGCCGTCGCGTCGTCGCCTCCGTGTCATTACGTATGTACACAAGACACGTGTCACGTCGTGCGTCGCGTTGCGCCCGTCGCCCGTCCCATGGTGCTGTGGGACGTCCTTTCATTGTTGCATTTTTTTCTGCCTAAATGTCGCTCCTTCCGTCGCCCGTCGCGTCGCACTGTCGTACGTCGCGTCGTATGTCGTTTGGTGCGTCGCGTAGCGTATAACCTCTCCTGAAACACGACGCACGACACGAAATGACGTACGACTCGGACACGTTGTGTGCTGTCGCCCTTTGCTTCATGGTCTTTATAGAGGGCGTCTTCACTCTTTTCTTTCATTTCCGTCCCTGTGCTTATATAGTACAGTGCTCTCCACGGGCTGTGTTAGCAGGGCGGACCGCCCTGCCAAAATTTTCGGCCGTGGGGAACACTGATAGTACATGCTGTTGGCAGCAGGCCTTGATTCTCTTTTTCATGCATTCTTTCTAACCATGTGTTTTCATTCAGAGTGAGTTGTTGAAGAATTGTTTTTTAATCAAATATAATTAGGAAGAGCGTCGCGATCAAGTATCAGCATTATATCCAGGAAATAGATAACATTGACTTCTGCCACAGCAATGTTTTAGCTTTTCCTGCTCTAATTCTGATCTTTCTAATACTTACTTGTAAATCCATTCTAAGATACAATACATCAATCATTGACACGCTTTCTTTTGTAACGTCCAAAACAAAAAACAGTGATGGTGCCCTTTATAAACTCCATGGAGCAAAGGCCGAGTGCACGCGGTGCGTCGCGTCGTGCGTCGTGTCGTGTAGTTGCGTCGCATTAAAAGAGGCTAGAGAGGCAGAAATGTTTGTCATGAATAGGACACCATAGTTCTGCGCGTCGCCACACACGCGCATTCTTGTGCTTGACGTGCTCTTGCTGTATGAAACTATTCTGGACTCTTTCTTGATCCCTGGACGTGAAACAACCTGCACGAGTTATGACTTAAGTGCTCGCAACGCGTACGTACAAACTTACAAAGAGTCAAGGCCGGTTAATACAAACGCTAAATTTTTCACTTCAACTCAAGTGATTCGCATTTCGAATTCGCAAACGCTGAAAACGAAACGTTGTCGTCACGACATCAACTTCACTTAGCTTTTGCATGAAATATGAACCGGCCTTAAGGAGTGCATTATTATCCATTGGGTAAGGTAAGAAATCTTATCCTCATACAATTTTATACCTCTACAGCTTTGTGCTGACGAAAGTAGAAAATTTGTTCGTTATGCTCTATTTTAGTATAGAGGGCGATTGGACTTACGGTCAATTTTAAAACGTCTTGGGATCGCGACGTTTGGGAAACCGACTTATTTTGGCATGACCAAAACGCAAGCCAAGGGCCTAGTGGTACGCGTACGATGCACTCTACACCTAAAGGCGCCTCTCCACAAGCGCGTTTTTGGGTGCATTGCGTACACGGTGCGTTCATGCATTTTACTTTCATGGACACAAAAATTACTCCATGAACATAACACCATCACATAAGACCACTAAATAGGATGGTTACACATTTCAATTTAAAGCTTACCAAAATCAGGTTTTACCACCTCTGTTTTTTTCCATGGGCTTTAAATAATACTAAGCCAGTGATGTGCATTGTGTGCAAACGTGGTCTTTACCAGAAGTTTGCTGGAGCACTGTGGTTAAAATAATTACCGCGGACGCCAGCGATACTGGAAACCATAAGAATCCTGCCAGACTTTTGCTTCTTCATCGCTGGTAACACGGCTCTTGTTGCTCTGACTACTCCCCAGAAATCGGTGTCCATCATATCTTGACACCACTCCAACGATTTCTGGTCGATGGCATCTAAGCCCATATATCCAGCATTGTTCACTGAAAACGAACCAGCAAAAACTGTTCAATGTGGTAGTACATGGCTAAATGCCTATACATGTCTGACACCTTTCAAGCCTACAAGTTTTTCAATTTCTTAGAAGCCGAGGCTTACATTTGGACTTAAGGCAGAGTGGAGCGTTTTTGTTTTTTTCTTTGGAGGAAACAAGTTTGGAAACTTCTTAATGTTAACGTTTATGGCTCTTCTGTGGGTGAGGTTAAATGTAATAGTTTATTACAACTTTTAGAAGGACGAGAATTGCAATAATGGTTCAAATTTCCTTCCCCCTCTTTCGTTTAAAATCACAAAACTTTGATAGCCTCCATCTACAAATATTATCATCAGATTTGCCAGGCGTCGGGCCTGCGTTATTCAAATTATTATTCTTCGCAATTCACTGCTTTTTAAATGTCGGGTTTTTTTACAGTCCGATAATTTTTCTTCATCTCGTTACGTGGAAAAATTATAGAAATGTAATCAGTTATGTTGTCTTGCAAATTGACATCATAATCTCAGGGTTTAATCTTGCGAAGATAAATCATCCTACCTAATGGATTTTCGGAATCTGGTTATTTACTGATTTGCCGGGAAGAAATATCTCTTTAAGCTTACTTAAATATTGGTTTCTAGAAGAGTGGGTCCTGAAACTTGAAAACTAAGGGAAATGAGATGCTTCAAAATGATTCACATAATTCTAAATTAAAGGTGGTTTGGATGTTGTAATCCCAACTTTATCCATTTTTTAGTGTGACGTCGTAGTATGGTAAACCATGCCAACTTCTATGGTGTTATATTGAAATGTAACACTGCAGAAGGTACCACCAAGTAGCGCATTGGTCAATAAGCAAAAACAGTGAGAAATGCGTGCCAGATTGAGAGAATTAGACAGAACAATTCATGGTCCCAAGTCACTATCTCAGCGAAAACATAGGCCCCTACTTGGTAGAAATTCCTCCTGAATTCTCCACTAGGGAGATTAACAAGGAGGGCTGCATCCGTATAGTGGGTGCATCCATATCTTAGTTAGATAATTTATTAGGAAGGGCTGTTATCTCGAACTCATTAGATGGACTTAGTAATATGTCTATATTCAAGTTCATCTAATGATGTCGAGAAAGTACATGTATCCACTTTTGGGACCCTGCATTCAGTTCTTAGAATCCAGCAGAAGGTAATCGATTGAGATTGAACTGGCATGTCCTACACATTTTGGCATCTCACCTGTTACATTAGCAGCAATATTGATAGAACAGTAGTCGGCTGAATGCAGAACAGAAGGACATAAACTCCATTGTTGCAATAAGCCCTGTTTCTTTGGTTAAAATAATGAATTATTGAATTTTTATGAATGTTTTTTGTTCCTTTCGCCGATATTTGGATAAAGTAGAAACTTAGTGTTATCTAAGGGCTGACAAAATGTTCACCAGCTTATGTACTCCGGCGGGACTGAAGCCAACGACTCCCATTGTTATAACGTGGAACCTGCCATTTTCTTACCTATCAAAGTATGGAAGAGATGGCAGCGTGTCTCTTACTAAAATATTCCGTATCGAGGAAACTCGCACTTTGGTTGAGGCAGACTATACACTCTTTTCAAACTTTCATGACGGAGGCGGTCTTTCATTTCTCTCTCCACATTTCCACCGTTGAGTAGGGACTTTTATCTTATGCACGGACCCACACATTTCGAACCAGCCAATAATATTCTTGTGTCAGTTGGTTCTGACAAGACTTGTTGCTTGCTCACCGAGAACGTCAATTCTCCCATTGTCTCGCAGAATCTCGTCCACCACCGATTTGATAGTAGGATCCTTGGTGACGTCAAGCTCCCGGATGAGGAGGGTCTTGTTCAGGGTGTGCCCCGCTGCTTCTTCGAGTTTTGTCTTTGACTTCAAATTCCTCATAGTGGCATACACCTTGCAGTTAAATCAAATTTAATGACAGCTTTAAGAGAGAATTGTATGTCTTTGAAGCTGGACTCAGTTGTTCTGAGGTATAGTTATTTTTCTATGGGCCAGTTGTGGGTAGGCCTACAAAAACTATGGGGCCTATTGAAAAATACTGCAGTGTGCCATAAACGTACAAGTCAACACCAAGTCACGCAAAAAAGGACAGGATTTAGAGATATCTTCAAACCAGCCAGATTTGGGATAGCTTCAAACCAGCAAGACGAAAACTTTTAACAGCTTAGCATGTCGTTACTTGCAATGCTGATTAGCACTATCAAGTTGTTTTCCAGATGTGCCTAGAGCCTATACGGAACACCTATTCTGGCCATGTATAACTTTTAAAGTCTTATTTTCTTTACGGAGGTGCTCTAAAAAATTACTATCATGAACATGGTCACAAGAGTATGCACACGGTCCCCCGCGTTACTGCAGAGTACCCTGAGTCGTGATATAAGACCGCTTGACGATGAAATGTGATAGGCCTATTCAATGTCCCATGGTACACACGTGGCCGCGTATATTCTACGTTATACCCAGAAAGAAACGAGACCGAGGGGTACCCCCCCCAACATGCCCAATCCTATACACATTCCAGACTATTGTTACTTAACAGATCCCCCCCCCCAAGATGTCTGAAAGGAATTCCCCAGATTCCTGCGAGACAACGCAAAGCAGGGGGGGTTCTCTCCGTCTCCTACCTTGCTGCATAAGGAAAAGGTACAGATGTACTTTATACACAGTGAGCAGATGGTAAGGTAGGATTAATCTGATGTAAGTCTGCTATAAGCACAAACATGGGAAAGGAAAGAAGCCATTTAACCTGAAATACCTTTATCTGCTCACATTTTGTTTATATTTTTGACGAGTTAATTGTGCTTATCAGATCGTTTGGCCTCTTACCCTACAAAACAGCCCCGCAAAAACACAAACATAGGATGCCATGAAACACAGGGTTTAGCGCTGTAAATTTGAAACAGAATTTCACTTCCGAAGCCTGTTGAGTTTTCTAGGACACACATTTCTCTAAAAAAAATCATAAATATTGAACAGGAAATAAAATCATGCCCACAGTTGTAAAATGAAGCACCACTTAAGATTTTGATGTTATGTTTGGAACTGCTGAAATCGATGATGAAAATTGGTGATGAATTGTAATGGAACTATTTGCGTTCATTCAGCACCTTGTTAAGGGCTCTGACACGTTTACCTGAGCAAACACAGCGATGGGATCCCGCGTTAAGGCAACGTGATATCATCTTCATGCATGTTTTCTGAACGAATCTAAGCAAATATGCCCCACACGATACCACGATACTGATAAGGATCCATCGGGCAAGTCATGCAAGGGCTGATCCAAAACCACGAGGCTTAATCAGTGGACTGCTTGGGGTGGGGCGTTGGGATATGGTATTCGGGAGCGGTTCTAGGGGGTTCTAACTTGTCTAGCCCCCTCCATGCAAGAATGAAAAGCAGTGGCGAATGTTAAAGGGTATAAGGGGCTTAGGTTCCCAAATATGAAATGGCTCGGGAACCGTGCCTGATTTAACGAGAGTACACCTAAATCTGGGGGCTTTGGAATGCTTTGGGAGAGACATGAAATAGTACAGATTAATATCAGTGCAGAAAGATACTTCTTTAAGCGGCAAATAGACCGATGGCGCATACAAAGTCACGTGACCTAAAGTAGGTATCAAACGTATCAAACAAAAACGGCGTCCTTCCATAGCAAAGTGTGTTTTAAGTGTTTAGCATAACGCTGATTTCATAGTATTTAGCATATCAGTGTCTTAGTACTTTACAGACCGTCGGCTCTATTGGGGTAAATGACACCGATAATACGTTTTGCTTTGATGGGGCGTCATGTTTGTTTATGTTTGATACCCATTACAGGTCACGTGACTTAGCAGGTGCAGTCGCACTTCTCTACCTTCAATTCACTACCGAGTGCCAAATCAGCACTGCGTTTATACAATGTACATTCCAATACTTAAACTTTGAAATGTGAAATGAATCACGTTTGCGTTTGTTGGGTACGTTTAATTGACCTGATAGGTAATGTCTAATTTGTGTCTTCGATTTTTAATACTTTAAATAAAAAAAATCCCGAATCAATTTTCTGGCAAGTTAATAAAAGTACGTGTTTGGTTTATAGTCATGCGAATTTACTTAGTTCGGGCCTGTTCCAGGGGCGTATCTAGTCTGGGGAGAGCGTCCCTCGGACGATGCTCCCATTTGAAGGGAATGTGAAAGGGAAATACTTTTTAATTCTAGCATCTTCTTTCTGGAAGGGAGGATTCTGTTATACGGATGAAAAAAATTCCAAGGGTAAAAAGAAACCTTTCATGCGCTCGTTTAAGGGCACCCTTGAGTCAGTGTGCTTAACAGGCACCTTTCGATAAAGGTGCCTTTCCATTGACTCGCTTTCTGTGCGCGTCGTGGTCCGTACGCGTGAAGTTGTGGGATGGCTATCATCAACCTTGTTCCCATCGATCTTGCCACATTATGTTGGTTCTCACTATGCAGCACGTGGAGTTGATGTTGGTCTATCATCTGCATGATCGAAACGCGGTAAACGCGCCACAGCATGCACAGATAACGTGCAAAAATCCACCAGTACTAACGTACGGTATTGGGGGCAGGGGGAGGGCTCAGCAAGATACCAGATTCTGACTTTTCCCCAAATAATCATGCTAAAAAGTAATTGCTATTCCAAGTAACTCTTGCAAACAAGCCTCACTAACAGCAGAAGGTAGTGGCATTGGTTGCGTCATATTATATAGTGATTCGGTTAACCGTTTTTTAAAAAATACGGTGCTGCCCACTGTAATATCCAGCTTCCCCCTTAGAACCCTGTCGTTGTGTCATTCGTTGATTTCATATACAGACCTACCTTAAATCGGCGCAATGAGTCCTTAGCCAGCATTGCTGCTGTGGCTAAACCAATGCCAGTCGAGCATCCAGTGATCAGCACGGTCTGGGGCGCCATTATAATTATGAGAGGTGATGCCACCGGTATTTTTGCTGCAAATTGCTTTGTATGTTCTCGTCTCTCTATCCACAGCTCTGCACTGATCGTGGTTCTGGCTTCAAATACAGGTGTTTGACGCTATATTTGCACTAATATAGATAAACACTTCCAAATAATTTTGGCCGTAACAACTGAAGGGCTAGTATTTACATCTCAAGCGTTATTTTTGACTTGTCAAAGTCCGGCCGATTGTATGGTTAAAACAAAATGCCAAACGATAACTGGGCTGAAACTTTACATAAAGGATATATGGACTTTGTCATCCCAATCCAGTATCGACTGCTCTCCCGGAAACCTCCAATGGTGTTTTACATTTCATTCGAAAAAAGTTATTCAATTTAGTTTATCAAATTAAACATTTAATAGATGTTCTTTGATCATGGAGTATGTTGGCGCAGCACCGGCTAATAGTCCTCAGCCATCTTCGTCCCCTTCTTTGTTTTTCTCGCTTTCAGCTTTGAACCATCCTGAGCTCTGTGAAGAGTCATGGCAGAGTTGGGTCAGAGGTCACCAACTGTTTTTAGTGGTCATCTTGGAGAAAAGGGCTTGGAAGCCTTACTTTTTTCATTGATTTCAGTCAATTTTGGTCAGTATCTGGTTTTCTTCAGAGTGTTTTAAGATTGGTGCCAAACGTCACTCAGACGTCAGCAGTGGTAATTTTCTGGAAATTATGAGATCAGTTTTACGTCATGCGCTCTCCTTTCGACCACTGCTATTTGCCCACGCTTTTTAAAATCACTGTTTTACGCGCAAGACTGGTTGTCTATGTGTTCATGTCTGTGGATTAGGCTGAGTCACATACGGCCTAATCCGCCCCGAGTTGAAGTGCACCCCGAAGCGGCACAAGAAAGATAGAAGGTAGTAAGTTTTCCAAGCAGGTTCTTGCACGCGTTCTGCGTGTACACAAAGACCATCCATTAGGGAATAAATTTGTTACCCGTAATCAGCGTGCTCCACCTCAAACGCGCCATTGATCTCCATTATTAACGCGTACCTAGCGCCGGAGTCGAGGATGGGTACTCACTGCATGGGTACCTATGCAGTGAGTACCCATCCTCGACTCCGGCCGTGGGCTCCTTCCTTGCGCGTTCCTTGTACTAGCCCCTAGTACTAGTGGTGTAGAATACTAAAATGACGCTGATTGGCTGTTCAGGATGAATATACATGAACGTAAAGTCAGTTGCGTGCGAGTGGACCTTTCCCACGAAATATGCAAATTGCATCGGCGCATGCGCACTACTACCACTGGTTGGCAATTACGGCCGTCTGTCTGTTGTCTGTCTGTTGTGTAGGCGAGCTGCTAGTAACCATAACCTGGAGCGTTGACGGCAAATCAAAACCATATTACAGCCTTTGCCCGATACTTGAACATGCTTTTCTCGAAACTAAGTAAGGCTCTCAGTGTCCTGAGGTTGGAAAGTAATATTCCTTGTAAATTAAGTTTGGCACTCATATCATGTCAAACTATACTAGTACAGAATATCGACAAAAATATAAGATTAAATTAAAAGGGGGAAATGAACGTGGATTTTTCCGCGTTCATTCAGAAATGAATCTGCTTACCCTGAGGAAGGTACGCAGTTACCGAAAGCTCGGTAATGCATATATTTCAGAGCACTGATTTGATACTATATTCTTAACCCATATGGAACCGGAAGCTAACGCGCAATTTGAGGGCTCATCCAGTGGAAGCTTGCAATCAGTGATGCGTGTGTATGTGTATGACGAAGTCACTTACGAACCGGATAAACTTTTATAATTAGTGTATTGTATTGTACTGTATTGTATTTTTTTTATTGATCGTTGAAATTACAACATTAAAACAAGCCGCTTAAACTTTGAAGGTGTATGTTTTGAGGGTTACAATTTTTTTCACACACTACTATTAAAGTGAGATTTCATGGTATAGGCGCTGTAATTAGTCAAACGGTTTGATAAAAGTGCCGTAGGCCTACCTTGTACTCCCCTTTAGCGCCTATCCGCCTTGACCAGAATCAACCACATTGGATGAGAAGAGCCACTTTGGTGGGAAGTATTCATTTTGTTGGCAGTCACGCGCAGGGTGGGCGCAGAAATTTTTACAGGGGGTGGGGTTCAGTCCTATCAGATCCTATTTTTAAATGTCACAAAGTATATACATTAAGTTGTTACTTATGCGCTCAGAAAATGTCTGGATGGATGTCATCTTTTATATTAATATTTTAAATTTTCCTATTTTTCAGTTTTGGTGTCCAAGCAGGGTTGAGGTTTGCCCCTCACCCTGGATGTTTGTGAACCAGTAAAGTGCAGTTCCAGTAAAGGAAGCTCATGTTGCTAGAAAAATAACTTCCCTTCTTGGTCTCACTCGGAGCGGAGAGTTCATACTAAAATAAATTTTATAAACCAGGCTGTACAAATGAACTCCATACTTTCATGTTTAATGTGTAAGCCTTAGGCCTACAGGCTTAAGAACCAGCAGTAGGTGCGTTATTTTTATGTGATTACAATTTGTGTGAAAATACGTATATATGCCTATTATTTGCAAGGCACAATAATTAATTCATGCTCATTGGAAATATTCATTTTTATAAATGCCAAACTTAAACTAAGATGTGGTAAACAAGGCAAGGGAGTTATTACGCCCCGTTGAAATAAAACTAATAAATCCTAATTAAGATATGATAACGGACTGTCCGTGCTAGGACCCGAGGGATCGTTAGGCTATTTCCTCAGCACATTGAGGAGAAAATCCGTTGTCGGGTCGCGTAGTTTCTCGGCGGCCATCTTGGTCAAGGCTTCCGAGGTCTGGTACCGCAGGTGAGGATTCTCACTGAGAATGATATCCATGTGGACCTTCGCTATTTCGTCTGCACCTTGAATGACGGCGAAATCGTTAGCCATCAGGTGCTTTAAGCCTTCAATGCATGACTCCTTCAAGATTGGAGGGAAGTCTTCAGCTTGTTCTTCTACCGGCTGCCCCATGACCTCAGTAATTAGCTCTGTTTGAACTGGCCCTGGCTCCACGATGCTCACCCTAGAAAAAAAATAGCATAATAATTGTAGGACTGAATATTCCCACGTGTAAAAACATATTGTAAGATTCAGATGTTAATGATCTGTGAAGAAATACCGTCAACGTTAAAAAAAGTGAAAAGCATTATTTTTTCAAACCATGTATTCATTTAATTTTAAGAAAGGAACCATAAGTACAAAGGTGCATGCGGGGGAGGGAGTGTAGGGTGCGAACGCACCCTTCCCCCGCCAGCAGAAGGGACTTCCGCATGAGGTGTTCATATTTTTTTATTTTTTAAACCAAACATCAGTACGTTATTTTACAGAGGTGAAAGTACGTGCATGGTTTTGATATTCGATGGTCGAAAAGTCAAATAGCAAATACATGCATCTGGGGCAATCTGCTATTCACGTGCGCACTTGTTTAAATGCTGGAAGTTGGAGTTCCGTTTTTGTGAAACCCCCCTCGGCCAAACCAGCTACAATTCTATATTTGTGTAGGCCGTCTTTCTCCAACCTACTGTGCATGAATCTGCTTGGAGTCTAAGTGTCTAGGCGTAAATCCTGGGGGATATATATCCCCCACTCTTATTAGGTGGGGGGATGGGCTATGTAAATCATCCCCCACACACTTTTTGTGGTGAGCAAAAAAAAATTAGGATTGTGTAGAATTTTGGATTTCACAAAGACGAAAATGTTTCAAATATCACTTATAAGGGGAAAAAGTACTTAAAAGTCGTAAATATGCCATTCTGACGTAAGATTCTGCATGAATTTCATACACATTACAGATGTACATATTTATAATGAACATCGCCCCCTATATTCTGTATATGGTTTAACCCCCACCTCAATTTTTCATGGCCAGGCAAGTCATCCCTCCCTTTTCCTCATCTCCTATCACCCCCCCCCCCAATTTCTAGCTCAGATTAACGCCGCTGGGCAGAACTGTGCCCATATATATGCATTATACCCAGGGGTTTAGGTTACAATCTTGGTTACCATTCCTTTTATCGTATCATATATTTCTTTCAATTCCTGGTTTTCATTTGCAATATACATATATTTGTTTCTTTGAGTAGTGGCACCTAGGAGAGCAACTTGACAGTAATTCAATTTGATTTTTGCAATCCTGCAGGAGTGTTTCTTAAGCCTCTTTCTTGTCAAATGTACATAATTTATGTGTTTGTTTGTAACTTTACCTGCAGAAATTAGTAAATGAAATAAAGTTGATCCCGGAATAAAGACCCCTTTTTTCCCAAAAATTCTTACCTTCATCAACATCTGATTTTCTTGTCTATTTTACTACCATCATTTTAGTAATATCTTGCCCTACTGAGCTTACACCAGTCCATAATAAGAAATATGCACGATGCAACCGATTCAAATTCTAAGGCATAAGAGAGATTTTTTTAATCTGAAATAAAAATTCATCAACAGTTTTCTACCTGATATTATATCCGTCTCTCAACATTGGGGCCATGGATTCACAGAATCCCTCCACAGCAAACTTCGCAGAAGAGTAGGTGGCAAAAAAAGGGACAGCTGAAAAGGTCAATGAAAACGATCACAGAAAACAGCATCAGTTTATGCATCAGTATCAGTGTGCTATTAAAAAGCACACATGACCAAAGTGTTGCCCGCCTCCACATCTGGGGTGGGCCATTTTACTTTTCTACTAAAATAAAAATTTTTCCAATTGATACTATCTTTAGAACACAATATAGGTTATATATACCTCGGATGCCAGCCATACTGGTGACGCAAATAATCCTGCCCGACTTTTGCGTCTTCATCGCTGGTAACACGGCTCTCGTAACTCTAACCACGCCCCAGTAGTCGGTATCCATCATTTTTTGGCACCACTCAAGCGACTTCTGGTCGATGGCATCTAAACCCATGTATCCAGCGTTGTTCACTAAAAAAAAAGAATAAGTTTTAGAATCAAAGGTATAAATCCCTAAGGGGAATGAAAATGCACTGTGCCCGTAAAAGTTACCGCGGTGCTTTTTAACTATAAGGGACAAAGCGCTGTCTGGCCAAAATACTCTCTTCTCCACCCACTAGCTTCATGAGTTTGTACTCTCAAGTAGCTCATAATATCCTGAGTATGCTTAATCACAAATGAAAGTCCTCCACTCACCGAGAACGTCAATTCTCCCGTTGTCTCGCAGGATCTCGTCTACAACCGATTTGATGGTGGAGTCCTTAGTGACGTCAAGTTCCCGGATAAGGAGTGTCTTGTTAAGGGTGTTCCCTACCGCTTCCTCGAGTTTGGTTTTTGAATTTAAATTCCTCATGGTGGCATACACCTTTTAAGAAACCAAGATTCATTGTATGGAACGGAGGTAGCGGTCAGCCTTTATGAAGTACATGTACAAATGAAACAAGCGGCCAGTTTTCAGATTTTGCTCACATTGGCAAGTAGGCCTACATCTAGTTTTATGGGCGCTTCATTAGATATAAGTCGATTATTTAATCTGTGGTTTGGTATAAACGTCAACAAGGTCTGACTGTGCTTCATATTTTATCTCGTAATCGCGATACAAAGATATGCGTGCTTGGTAATTGTGATATCTTCAAAGTCAAGCTTTGACGTGAATAGTGGATACCTCAGCCTCCTTGCAGTTCACTTTTACAGCCTTACTTTGCATTATTGATATAAATGTTGTCGAAGGGGATGATATTATGATTATTGCAAAACTGTATTTAATTAACAGGTTTCCAGAAATCAATCCGGCATAGCACCAAAGAAAAACAAAACCTTTAACTTTCGGTATTGTGTGGGCAGGCATTAGAAGTTTTCCTTTGTTCCTATGGTCATCAGATTTTTAAAAATGTTTAATGGTACATGTAATTAATGTAAAATTATAGGTTTTTATGGTGCTTGATCTTTATTGTGCACTGAATTATATTTATACCGGGTCTTATATTTTGGGATTAATTTTTCAGCATTTACTGTATACATGTATTTTGTTTTATTCACTGATTCTGAATATTATTAATGGAAATTCATCCATATTAATGCTTATTCTGTCTTATAACATTGCATTTGTATGAAATTAACGTTGGAATTTGTTTAATTGTCTTAATAATATTGCCAGTAACTATTTTAAGTGTATGAGCTGCCACTGCATGTAATTTCCTTTCTTTATAAAGTATTGAAATGAAATGAAATGAAATGAAATGAAATGAAATCCTTAGCCTGAGTACAATGATCCTAAACGGCCGTGTGACAGAGCAGAATCAGGCGGTTGGTGCCTGGCGCTGTGAGGACGAAGTTCAAGTTGACAATAAAGATTTAAAGACGATTTTAACCGATTGAAATGCATAAAGATGCCTGTTACATAACTTAGATTTAAACAGCCCATGGGAATATCTTTATATAATGATATCTTTGGTTTGGTTTGAATGGCGGCCTCTTACTTCAACGAGCGGGCTGCAGTGAGTGGATTTCCATGTTGACCCGACAAAGGGATTTGCTTATAATTACTGATCTCGCTCTTTGTCCTTGTCCTGAGCACATTCAACGGGAAAAGTTAAGATTTTATGCCGACCTGTCTGGGGAAAAGGATTTTGAGACAACTTTATGGCCCATTTTCTGATCAAAATGTATGATTGCTCTGAAACATCTTAAAAAGCTCCGCGCAATTAAATGATGGGTTGAAATTATCCGAGGAAACTGTAAAAGCTGCAGATTCTGCCCCTGGCTCTTTATACACTGGACATTGTGTTTCAGGATGCAGGTTAAAGCTTTTAAGTATCGTCCTCGCAAGGCGTGTAACAGGAAAAAAGCGATTGAGGCAGTACAATCTTGAATAATAATCAATATAACTGAAAAATCGCTGAATTGTGCACAACGCATGCGATTTTTCTATGCCCGCAAGGGTTATAAATTCCTTTTGCAAAGATTGTTCGTTGAAAAGAATGGATAAAGAGAAACCAAACGATGTGAGTTACTTCATTACACCTACCTTGAAGCGACTTTGCTTGTCCTTAGCTAACATCACTGCCGTGGCTAGACCAATCCCCGACGAGCATCCAGTGATGAGTACAGTCTGAGGCGCCATTTTGCTCTGCTCGATCTTCCTGTCTTCCGATGTGCTCCCTTCTTTGTAGCTGAACGCAGGGCTTATAATTCGCTGCCGTCAGGTGCATTTATATGGGCCGGCATTGATGAAGGGCTATATATGAATTTACACAAGACAAATTTACACTAACAGGCCTCAACGATGAGTGTGCAAAATTCAAGGGTTAAGTTCCAACCAATGTTTGCAGATATTATGTAAGACTTCTAACCTATACATACATGCGATTAGTTTTCCATTTTGATGAAAAAGATTAACCAATTGCAGTGTTGGGTTATCTCATTGTTGAATAAAAACAATTAAAGTATTACCAGTGCGTAGGAGCAGGAAAATCCAACCACATGGGTAGAGAGTCTTTGCAAGAGGTTGAGTTATGTTAAGGAAATTTGGCCACTTTTGTAGACGAGGTGTGAGGGGTCACTCACTGTCGTTTACAACGTTGGTTTACTTTTCTATTTGTTCCATAATATTTCCGAGCATTTTTGAGTAAGCAAGACTGAAGAAAAGCCAGTTGCAGATGTACAAGGACACTGCATAATTTTTACTATGTTTAAGTTAAACGTTAATTTTTGGCAACGCTCCTCAAACCAAATGAGCGAAAAAACCATTCCCGTCTTGTATCATGGAAATTTATTACAAAGTTTGAGAGCTATTCCAAATAAAAAAATTGTCAACCGACACCAGATTTCAAAAAGTCTGACATTTAAAAAAGAGTTTTTGTATTCCTAACATTTTCCTTAGAGACTGGCTGCAATCAATTATTGTGATTATAAACCTCCAAAATGCACCTTTGTGCCTCAGTTAATCTCATTTTCAATTTTTGTTCCATTGTTTTAAATGGTGTTTTTATCCTCTTTTTCGTTTTATGCTAATGTATTTCCATATTCATGAGCAAAACTGTGATGTCATCGCAGGAAGAAGCCTCAACGCTACATTGCTTTGTACACAAAAGTCCTGCTTTTTTGTAGATTTTCCTGGACACAGTTTTCTCCTCTTTGCTGATTTGTTGTTGTTGTTTATGTGTATAGCACTTAAAAAGTATCAATTCCTTTCTCAGAAATGTTTTCCGTTAGTAAATTCTGGGATCCCAATTTGAACAGAAACCCAAATGTATGCACCGTTCCCTAGATGATTTCATAGCATAGAGCTCTCTGAAAGAATTCTATGGGTGCACTGAACTAATTCAAGCTACATTGAAAACAGTACAATGTAAAATCAACCAAGTTTGGAGCCCATGGATGGCAACTGAAGTCCCTGAGGCCTCTAAAAAATGTTTTCTTTGGTTGCTCAGTTCATTTGATTTTCATCTTTAGTACGTTAACCAATGTTTTTTTTAATTACCTGACCAAAACAAACTCCCCCCAAAAGTGAATGCCAAGTCTTCTCAGCAGCCGTTTTTGAAATGACATCCCTCATCGTTCGGAGGCTCTTCTGACAAATTTTCGATCACATTTTTGTCAGCTTTTCCCCCAGATAAGAGCCCCCGAATCTACGGACTGATTCCATGCCGTACTTACGCAATCGCACAATTTCTTGGCCCACGCAGACTCCTCTTTTCGAAGGAATTTTTTTTGGGGGGGAGGGACTTTTTGAGCGCCTCGTCCTGGTTGAGAATTTCCCTTGAATTGGGTGATGCAGCCCTAGGGGTGCACCCTCGCAAAAAGGCCGACATATGTCCGCCGAGCTTATTAATAAAAGTTATACACTCAAAATATTCTATATTAGAGAGTCCTGAGAACCATGAAATTGAGGAATTGGAGAAATATGGCACTGAACCTCTGGCCCGGACTTTGGGCTTCCAATTCTGAGCAATTTGGGTGCAGTCGGGTCCGAAAGTGAAGTGGCACTATCTGGCCGTTTTGCAGAGGGATGCTTTTCAAAATGGCTACTTTTCTGGGCAGGGACATTTTCTTCATTTTAGGGGTGGTCTGCTTCTGGTGAAAATTTCTCAAAAATTCATTGGTCAACCCCACAAAAATAGAAAGGAAAATGAAAGGGGACATGTCGATTATCGTGTTTCTGTGCAGCCTGGACACCTGTGAGAGTTGTGAGTATTTTTAAAATAATTGTGAGGTGTGGGGATTTATCATTGCTGTCTATGGGAATTTATTTGTAGTGGTGCACCCTTAGGTTTCACAGCAACAGCGCCCGCAGTTGTCCCGGAAAACATGGATAATTTTAGTTGTTTATAAACGTGCACTTTTCATTGCTTTTAACCAAATAGGAGTGTAAAAGAGTTTTCACACATTGAAGAAAAGTACAAAGATGTAGAAAAATTGTGTCGAAGAAAATTTTTAATTGTATGGCGTTTATCAAAAGAGAAGCTGATGCAACATTGTATTTGTATGCAGATTTGTATGAGCAAGCGAATCATCAGCATTGGCATGCTCTGAGTTGTAGACTCGAGACACTTGACTTAGACTCGAGTCTCTATGTTTTTGTGACTCGTGACTTGACTTTTATTACTATCAGTTTTTAGGCCTACTTGTGACTTCACTTGGACTCGCAAAAAATGACTCGTGACTTGACTCGTACTTGCATATTATAACTTATTGCCAACGCAAGTCTGAAAATGCTCAAATCGCCGGAACCCACAAAGGTTAATACCTTGAGTTCTTAATTTTAATATAAAATAATCTGCCAAAGACTTCGTTCGGGTCGCGATTTCTACTTCGGTCTTATCTGCCCAAGGCCACGTCTGAATCACTTGGCCATGCTTGAAATATCATACACAGCGCGACTTGACTTGCGCTTGGACAAAAAAATTGTGACTTGCTTGCGTATGGATCAAACTGACTTGGGACCTGACTTCAATGATCAAATGACTTGTGACTTAATTGACCTGTGATCAAATGACTTAGCTTAGACTTCCAAAAATGACTTGTGACTTGACTTGGACTTGCTACCACCTCTGTTCCTACCTCTGTTCCTATTTTCCTAAAGGCATTGTTTCGAAATAGAAATTCCAGTTTGTATCATTTACCTCATTTGGCAAGAAATAAACAATAGGCCCATTTACTTGAATAATTATATATAATTTATACTGAATAAGGTATGGATGCCTCTGCAAAGCTTGGCAATTGTCAAACAGTATTTCGGTAACGCTTGTCAAATTTATATTTCTTTATTCTGTTTTGTAAGAAAATAATGCAGTATTTATATTGTTTCATCTTTTCAGTTCAAGTAAAAACCGCATTTTGGTGTAAAAAACTAAATCAACTCTAGACTCCGTTAAAATCGCAAACGACTAACAAAGTAAAGACGCTTGCTTATAAATCACAACTTTGATTCTGAAAATAATATCTCTTACCTGAGAACAAATACATGTAATTTGACGTGATTTACTGTCATAAAGACCATTTCAACGACAATATTGACGAAGGATTTCCGAGGCACAGAAAGGATTACTTGTAGCTGAAGGTTTGATGAACTAGTACCGATGCAGTTCGTTAACAACTTGCCTTCAAGATTTAACGGACGACTTGCCTAACAGTCGTCTCCACGGTCGAGTTATCAGACATCCGCCTCAACCCTCACAGCGCTGCATAGGCAATATACATGTATATAAATGCATTGTGAAAAGCTCAACGGTAAATTGAACAGGAATGAAAATTATCTTTTTTTAATACGAGACATCTGCAACAAAGTTTTGATAAGTACTTGCTGCTTTGAACAACAGTTTTAAAGTCGATCTAACTTTGGGGGAAAAAGAAACCCAAATAACATCCATTTATTTGTACAATATGACTTGTTTGGACTACGACATTACATCTTGATCTTCTTTTTCAATTTCACCTCGTCCTCATTAACAACCCCAAGCTATGGAACTCTGCTGTACACCCAAGTTTATTATTTTCTCGTTTAAAGGTACAATCCTTGTCGGAAAAAAAGCAACAAACATGTACAAAAATGCCACATCTCACACCAGTTTTGAATCCAAAATATCGAACAATCGTAACCGACTACCACACATTCAAAAATCCTCACCACTGAGCAATAAAGTACAGTCATTTGCAAATGATTTTTAGGACAAAATGCATTAACCTGAAGAAAAACCTAACTTAAACCAATCAATCATGGCAACCTATGCTTATTTCCAATGTGTAACCTTGGTTCCAATGTGCATCTTGGTTAAACAGCTATTTGACTACATTTCCATGATTTGAATTGTTAACAGGGGAATATTTAGTGTGCCCTCCTTTAGTTCTGATTACTTAGGCTGGCTTTTTTTTAACCCATGCTGCCGTACAGACAAAATGTCATACAAGACTGCCCTTGCAACAAATTGAATTCGAATGGGTATACAAATATAGCACTTCCCTGATATTTTGCACCACTGTAAAAACATTTCTAGTAATCAATTAATGAGACAATTAATGCAGGCCCAGTGACAAACATACCAATAAAATTCCAGACTGTCTCAAAATTTTGCAAATGACTGCAGTTAAATACAACAATTGCACCGTTTGTCATTCAATCCCAAGGTGTATTTTAGATTTTGAAAAGATTTACAAAGCAATCATTTCAGACGGGATTCCACACACCTTGATCTCAACGATTTTACTCTAGCAGTTGTCACTTCACAATGACACATGTATACACTTCTTGCACCTGCTAGTGGCACTCCTATTAACCAGACATCTGTTTCAAAGGCCTTGGAAGGAAAGAACGGGTCTCTCAGCAAGCAGTACAGTGTACATAGATAGATATGGATGAACTACCTGCGGAGTGAATGTCTTCACTCTTGACCAAGACTGCCACCCAGGCACATACACAACAGTTGCTTCTATTGCCAGGTAACAATGGCCTCACAAACATGGACAGCAAAACAGTTCCGTCCTCACAAGTTTTTCTAATGTTCTGCGGACAGAATCCAATACACGCAATCGCTGGGCTGTTGTTTCCGTATTTGCCCACTTCGTTACGGCTACTCATCATCTCGCTTTATCAACAGTTTTTCAGTATTTTCACGTTGCATAGCCTGAAATTCCTTGGAGTCTTCCCATGGGCGGGGACCACGGATGTTGTGCCAGGTATCAATATCTTCATTTTGCAGTTTCTGAAACAAAACAGCAAAAATTAAAAAAGCATATAACACTGTTATCCATGTAAGGTAACAAAAGTAAAAACTACGTAAACAGGTGCTAAGTAACTCAACTGTTTAGGTCTGGACATTTATATTTCAGGTCACAAAAGGTCTGTAGTTTGCAGCAGGTCTTCATATTTATTCCTTTCTGAAGAATTAATTCAATCCAGTGTACAAAAAAACGGTCTTCAGTGAATGGTTGAAGGCACGTTACTGAGCAACATATTTCTATTTGAACTTACTACACTTTATGTATACTGTATGTGTGTACCTTGTATTCTCCTTCAATAGTGATCTTGTCCTTCTTTTTGTATTCATTCAATTTCTCATCAGTTTCTAGATCCACCTGAAAACAGACATTAAATGTCAAACAACTTAAACAAGGATTGACAATGGAATTTAATGTGTTTCGGCAACTTCAAGTAAAAGAGCATGCACTCTTTGACTCAATTTCAAATTGAAACAAGGAACGTACCGTTTTTCTTCTGTCAATGATTTCATAACGTAGAGTGCGGAATTCTTTCAGTCCAAATGATCCCCCAACAACAATTACCTACATGTGGAATAGAAAGAACATACAAGTCCATGTATAAAGAACATAAATTTTATAAATGGAATTAATTTTCAATAATATGCCCTCCGAGGCTCCCGTACACTACAAACTGATAATCATGATAACAGCTCTGCATATCCCTAAAAAAGGGTTTCCAGTACAAAAAAATTCCGAATTGAACAATCCTATTTGAAACCATAGGCCTAGGCCTTAACAGAAATACATGTGTAGAGACACAAATCATCATGACCACTGAATGGACTTACAAACGTTAACACCTAGTTAACCTCCATGGCAAGACAAACTGAGACTGTAAGAGTAAGACTACACACACACATCCACTAAGCCTACTCACAAAGCACTAAATTTTGAATGACACAATTATCCACCATGTCCGGGGGCAAATTGGCCGGGGGCAAGTGGGCCGATCGAGTCAGGAGCGAATTGGCCAGGCCTGGCAGGGGGCAGTTAGCCATGAAGCGAGTTTTCGGTCGGGAGAGTCAGCCAAAGCCGGCCAAACACAAAGACTTAATTTTTCTGCAAATAAACGATGACCAATATCAAGCACTGAGAAGGAAGTTAAGTATTTCAATCCCATAATTTACCAGCATAGGGACGCCAAACCTCAAGAAACGACTCTTTTTAACAGCGTCCAAAATTTTGTTCATGGACGCCGCCATTTTGAAAAGGCTCGTCTGGTAACCAAATAAACCATGATAGTATACAATAACAGAGGGGTATGGTCTTGTTTCTTTAGCACCAGTCTCCTGCAATCGCGCGTCTGATCTGAAGCAAAATGACGACGTACTGCAGCCTGTTCCTTGGTAGACTTTGCGTGAATTTTTCAAAGAGTAAGTATCCTCGTCACTTTGATTTTCAGAACTGTTCTGTTGGGAGATAATAATCGCCTTAGGAACAAAGCATAGAAACGCGAGGAGCACAAATCACTCCGTAAATATGTTGAACAGTCAGGACTGAGTGGCTACACATGGACATATGAATGACATATGGACAAGATGGAGGAATCCATGATGACCCGAGGCACACTGGCAGTCATGAATGAATCATGCATGTTCAGGCATACAAGGGCGTTGGACACGATCATTCGATCTTTGTGCGATCGATTGATCATAGTACATGATTTGTCGATAATTCCGCCATCAGCCAATTGCCTTTTTTTTTTTTAATTCACGGTTTTTATAGATTGTTTTGACATGTTTGAAAAGGGAAGTACATGTACATGTACTAAAATTGAAGATGAGAATGCAGAACGCCACTACATGTACATGTAGACATCCTTTGCATCTATGAGAATGAGACTTGTGTGAAAAATTCTAAGTATTTTCTTAGTAAACGACTCGGTTTTTCCCTTCTAAATTGAAGTTTTCTGGACATGTTTTTGCTTTCTGACAGTTAATAGGTCACTGTAGGCAGGAAGGGAAGAATTAATGTACATGTACTGGTGTTTGTGTATGGAACTCTTCCCCTAATAATCATGTATCTGTTTTTAAGTTATAACAAGATACTTTGAGAGTGGGCACAAAACTGCCCACTGTGCCGCACAATCTTGGCAAATCAAACGGGTGAAAATTTTGATTATTTGCGTGCTGCATGGATAAAATCATAATTGACCAGTAGCAAATAGATTTCATCAGCACAAACCACAGTGACACTGTGACCCTTAATTAAAGAACAGCTGATTAAGAAATATAAGCCTTCTTTGCTGCGGGTGGCAACTATAGGGATATGGCAACCACACCGTCATGCATGTTACTACATGTACATGTAGTTTTGAGCATGTGCGTGTGCAGTGTTCTGAGCATGCCTGCATAATTCTGAGTATGGGCAATACGTGTGTACCTTGAAAAATGACCGCTTCGTCTGCTGCCACCAGCATCTCAAAGTCTCCCATTTGAAGCTCCTTCCCCTTCTTGGTCACATGACCTGCATGTACATGTATATGGACCAGTACTTTGTAAAATAAAGAATTGTACATGAACCAGCAATATCTGAATTCCAAATGAAAACGGATTCCCCTTGTCTATATTGCAATTTGCAGGGCTCTCAGTTTCTGGCAGTGGTAAACTGCAGGCCTGTCCTATCACCTCCAATGCCATCCACATGTGCGCTCAGCCCTCACGGACATTGCTGCCAACATCACAGGTCAATGTCACACCTAGAAGGGACATCAGCTGGTACAACACTTGTAAGTAACAATGTAGAGAGGTGTACAAACAGCCAGATTATTCAGTGCATTGAGCTGAGTCAGGCAAACAGTTATTGAAACTGAAATGAATAGGAAATTAAAGACCAAAGTTCTCCAACTGTTTTAAAAGTGTTGAAAATAAACTCTTATTGTGTTTAGTGTTTAATAATTCTTACATGTATATTCATTACCAAATCATGTCTGTATTGTGCCTGTATTTTTTGAAATTATGCCAAAACTTTTGAACGTTGTCTTTGAGTTTTATGAAAAATTTCCACAATCTGACCACTGGTGGCGCTGTTGAGAAACGAAAAAACGGGAAAACATTGAAACTGGTATCCGTGGAAGACTGGTTGCACTACAAACGTACATATACATTAAAATGGATCTCCATGTGCGTGCACCGCGTGTCAGGGATCGATGTGTGCAGGTTGTACTGTGCCTCATTATCTCTTTTCGGTTGAGAGTTTGTGTTCCTGTCTTCATGACTTACAATAATGCCCAAAAAGTGCGTCTTGGTGGACGTACTAGAAATTCTGCCAAAGAACCGGGATTGAAATTCTTGGAGTTCCTGAAGAATGAGAGCATTCTTCAAGTTTGTACCGTCATCGGCAGCTTTGCGTGCTATGGATGCACTTAGCGCGCACTGCGGTATTTCAGCTCCACGGTAATACATCACAGAAATCAATATTCATTAGATGCTGATGAGTCGTGACACGTCCATTTTTACAACTGCAGACTGGACTGGAATAGGTATAAAAGTTGTGTTTTATTAACACAAAAATGTCTGTTGCAAGGGAGATATTGATAGGTGCCAGTTTTATCAGACTTGGTTCTTCTGAATAGGATTCAAGATGAGAAAAATCAACATTAAAGTTGAATATCCCATACAATCTAAAAAACTATAATCATTCAGTTTTTGTATTAAATATAAAATGAAGGATCCTGAATATTTGGGAAAAAAGAAAATGCAAGTTGTCAAATATGATTTGCATGAAACTCTGAGTTAGAGTCTCATCAGTCCTTTTTCTTGTTTATCTCACATTTTACCTGTTTGTCCAAGCAATCATATACCCACCCATTTAATGTGCTTGAATATTGGTACATGTACAATGTACATGTACCAAAGCCTGACTCCTGGCTTACTGCACCTGTACAACTTTCTTCAATGTTTATATTATTGGTAGAAACCTTGCCTACTTAGTACAGACGCATTTGCCTATAGTCACAAATTGCTGTTACAGATTTTGCACCAGGTGTGCTAGCAGGAAATGAACAAAATTTACAGAACAGATTTACTTTTTTAATATTTGATGCCTGCAGTAACGGCAGACCAGCTGTGGAAAGGCATGCTGGCAACCACTGGCAAGGCTCAGACCAAGGCCCGAGGAAAGCGACCTGCCAAGAGAATCAGGAAAGATCTCAACAGGGGCCAGGTTATAGGAGAAGGTAAGGTTGCACTAGAAATCCGCTAAAACTAGGTTGGATTCAAGCGTGTGCTCCTGAAGAATCAATCTTGCTGTTCTTCAGCGTAATCTCATATAAAGTTGATTCTCATCGCTTGTAGATCCAGAGCGGTATTTGTTGTTTTAAAAGACAAAGTGTGCACCTGTCACTGCTACGTACTTTTGTCTTATGCCCATCCATAGGGGCTTTTTTGTGTGTGCAGATGTATACACGTACACGATGTTTGCTACCATGCACCATGTCATTTCTGTATTTCAATGAGCTCAGTGTGTTCAGGACGAGACATCTGAGTCTTGCCGGCTTGAACATTTTCAGTGCGTGGACGTTGACGTCTGGCCACATCGATGGGCAAATCTCGTGCACATACATGTATTGGTTATCCCATGAGCTACGATCGCCCCACTTCATTTTGTGCGTTCACCGTTGGAACCCCAAACGGACTCATTCCGTACATTGCCTATAGGCCATGCAAGCTATATTTTGATAGCTTGCCAAATCAAGTTGGACTTACAAGTCCAGAAATCATTCTTGGGACATGTACATGTGCTCGTGTTACAACAGCATACACACATACATGTACATTTATACCACAATTGAATTTCATTGCAGTAGCATCCTTGGCTAGAGTTAATATGTGTACACGTACATACATGTAACGCATGTACATGTACATGTACATCTTTATAGTGTTTAGGAACTGGTAAATAATGTATGTGAGGTAAGTACATTGTACCTCTTAGGACATATACATGTGTAGCCAACTGGTCAGGGTTTGTAGCTTCTAATCACAGAGTTGGGGTCAAAATCCTAGCAGGTGGTCACACGTTGTCCCTACGTGCCTGTGTCCGTTCAGGAGTCTATGGGTACATGTGGCAGCATCAGGCTAGTATACTCTCCTGGGAGCGGAGACAGTTTGAGGAATGATCTGATATTGAGAGCCCAATGAGCAGGGATAATGATAATAGATTGGTGCCATAGACTGACACGCTATTACATGCAGATAGTGTGCATCTTGTAAGTGCTGTGATATTGTTATATTTTGGAATTGGGGAAAAAGTGTTCTCTGTCTTCTTCTTCAACGACTACCCTGACTACAGGAAAAGCCAGCGTAGCTTGGCCAGGCCTGAACGCCCCCGTTCTGAAAGACAGGACCGTCCAGACCATGCACACCAAGGAGCCAGATCCTGAGAGAGAGGAGCGACTCCTGCAGATCCGAACCCAGTGGGACAAGAAGAAGCGACGCTCGGTACCCCCAGAGCAGAGAGGATGGACCTCCAAGAGCTGGGGTGGGCGGCGGCTTGGCCCTCCTGACCCGATACCAGGAGGTAAGAGGCCTTTCAGGGGGGGTTGTGTTTTTCCCCAAATTGAAGTGCATCTGATATCTGGGCAATTCCAGAAATTGGGGGTCCAAAAGTATGACATTTTTGTGTCCCTGTTACATCTGACCTTTGTTATTTGGCATGGAAATGTCATTGGAATTGATTTCAAACTATTACTTTTTGTTTGGCAGGTAATTTGCATTAATTCATCACTCTTAGAAATTGGAAAATGTGTTCTGAACTTACAATATCTTGTCAGATATGAAAGGGACACAAAAACAATGGGCCCCTAATTTCTGGACTTACCTATGAGCCTCAGTTCTGCTGTGCGTCCTAATGTTGTGCCCCGCTGACATCCAAGGGTGAAATTATTTCTTCACTTGAAGACGTTTCAGTAATATAAATGTGTATATTTTTCCAGACTAAATTTTGGGACGTACAAGATTCTTTTCATGAATCAAAGTGGCCGTTGCCATTAACCCCTTGACGACGTGAACTTTTTCTGAAAGCTGACTCCGAGAATTCCAGCCTCGCTTTGCCACGAAGGCCACCTGCTAAACCGCAAATTCTCGGTTTCTGGCCCTGCATGTTCTGCATGCTTTGAACTACACAGTGAAAAGGCTGATTGTTCGGTGGCATGCGGCTCTACTCACCCTTCCACATTCCCTTGCCTCTTTTCAAAGTGGGGACTATTGTGAAGCTGGTGGTTATGATGCAAATTCGGCCTTTTCATTTCTTGGCAACACACAAAGGCCAATCACCATATATACAAGAACCAGGGTCTGCCTTCTTTCACCGTGTTAGCTCGAGCGTGGGCAGAGAATAATAGCTGAAAAACAGGCTGAGGATCTCAATTTCTACGGCGGCTCTTACCGTCTTCCGTCGCGAAGGGGTTAAGACTCCAACAGTTGAATATTTAGGATTTTTGATCCTTGAGTAGTGAACCAATTTCAGTCACCATTGTGCCATTCTACAAAACATATACGTGTACAGGTAGTTAGATTAATTCTCCTGTAAAGTAACTTTACGTAAATCAAGCAGAAGAGTTTGAACTCTCACATGCATATTGTACATTTCAAAAGATTAATTGTGGTCATGTCAGAGTAAACATGTTTACACACATGTACATGCAGCTTTTAAGGAATAAAGTGGCAAACAATGTTAAGCCTTCAAACTGCTGGACTGTAGGCAGTGTTTACGTAGCTTTAAGTTGCTGTTGTGTGTTGAAACCAACTGCTACCCAGGCTGTTCTCGCACTTTCTCTACAGAGACATTTGAGGGCTTTGACTCCAGTGTGATTACAGTCAGGAGGGTGTTCAACATGACTGGTGCCCAGGGCAGGAAACGTAGCATGTCCGCTCTGGTTGTGGTTGGAAACAAGAATGGTGCTATAGGTGAGAACATCACACAAAGACCTGAACACCACAGGAAAATCCAGAGGATTGCATCAGAAGGATCGTGCCTATTATTCACTGCCTGACCAGACAGACCCAAACAAAATAAATGTAATGTTCCCCCCCCACAAGCACTGAAAAATGCAAGGCTTTTTTAATGTTTGATCCTGTGCATTTTTGCACAGAATGAGACACCAATGAGAAATTGGTGAAGACTCTCAAAGTAAAAATGATAGAAGTGATTAACTTCGCAGCATTCAGTCAGAGCGCCCCTCTTACAGCTTACAAGGGGCCTGTTTGGTGCTTTACCAACCTGTATAGAGAGATGCTGAGGGTATTTTTACATTGCGATTGGTTTTTACCCTCAAGCCCACCCGAACTAGAGGTTACTGCTTTAAGCGCATACATGTAACTTGTCATCGAAGTAGCATTTGTTCATAAGATTACAGAGCTGTAATCCGTCTTGAGCAGAAGCACTTTCTCATCGGTTGAACAGAGCCATGTTGGTCAGGAGTGTTCATTTTGCTCGTATCGACACAACCATAACATGTGCATTCCATAATCATTCGTTAACCAACCAAGTGCACTTACTGACCAAGGGAGCCTACCTGATACGAAAATTGCACCCTCTCGGTCCAGCTCAGGGTTCATACCCATTAGTCACAAGTCATGCAGTCTTTGCTCAGGTAACAAGCCAACCGTATCCTAGGCTATTTCTTGTCGTTGGGTTTTCTTGGTACCTCTGACCCTAAGTTGTGACTTGATAATACATGAGAAATGGGTTTGCGGGTACACCATGGAATCAATCTCTTTGGGCAAAGGACGGCCAGAGCTCACTGGCCGAAACGTTAACACTCACTGGTTCTTATAAGAACCACACCTCACCCAAAGAGATTGATTCCATGGTGAACCTGCAAACTCATTTCTCATGTCTCTTCCGCCATGCAAAGCTTCAAATCTTATTTATTGATAATACATGTACGTGTGTGAAATTGCTTATGATGTGAAGCTGCCTCAGCTTACTAGCTTAGCCCTGTTACATGTATATTATGGGCTGCTTTGCTGGAGTGAAAACACTGACTTGTCTTGAGATATATAGGTCATACGTCAAGGTTGTGATAATTAGAAAAAATAATGATTCCTGAACATCAAGTTCCATTTGGTTCACCATGTTTTAAATCCAGGTTTGCCATTTTGAAAAGGAAGGATGGTGATGCATTAGGGAAAGGTCAGCGGTCTGTCATTTTGGTTGGAAAAATTTAAAAGAGCTCAAAATAGAACAAATTTCATCCTTTTTTCACTTTTTGAGATGTTCACTGAGTCCTAATCTCCTTTTCATATCAGTCCTGATGCCGAAAGACAATTGAAGAAACTTACAAAAAAATTGTAAGATACTGAAAGACTTGTGTTGTTGGTATCAACATTTCCCTATGAAGGTTAAGGTTTTAGAACATCAAGTGCCATTGAAAAATGAGGAACGGGAGGTGTCATATCCCCCCCCACCCACCCTCAGTAGACTAAGACTGTCCTTTTTGAAATATTGATATGGAAAAATGATGCTCTTACACTTCGCCAACTGTTCAGGCTATGCACATGGTAAAGCTCCCGATGTGATGTCTGCCCTGAGGAAAGCCAAGAACAAGGCTGCCAACTATCTCCACTACATTGAGCGTTATGACAACCACACAGGTAAAAAGGGAACCTAGAAGGGACCACTCTAAACTGTAGGCTTTAACTACTGACAGTAGGCTATTATCTGATTTTGATATTCGAGAAAAACAAGATATGGCCACCAACTTTGGATATACAGCCAAATGCCTCAATCACCGATTTACAAGAGTCATTTGAACAATATTTGTAAAATACCTCTTCCTTCAGTGCTATTTCTTATACACTCAGGGTGTGCCCAGTGAGCAATATTGGCCACCACTACATAGACTTTTCTGACTGTGTGTAGTGCGTCCACAAAATACACAGAGAATGAGCACATTTAGATGTCATCCAGAGGCAGGTGCCGACAGCCAGATTATGGGTAAACGACACACTGAAAAATTCATCAAAGCGAGTTTGAACCCTGCTCAGTTATCCTTGTTTTTTTCCAACCCATTGACAGTTCCTGTAAACACGCCCAGAGTTGCTGACTCGAGTCATGTGACTTGGACTGGAGTCAGACTCAAGTCGCTATTTTTGTGACTTGTGACTTGACTTGTAAATACCAGCTTGACTTGTGACTGGACCTAATAACTTGTGACTTGACTTGTGACTGGACCTAATGACTTGTGACTTGACTTGTGACTGGACCTAATGACTTGTGACTTGACTTGTGACTGGACCTAATGACTTGTGGCTTGACTTGGACTTGCAAAAAAAGGACTTGCTGCCACCTCTGAACATGCCATTTCTGTACATTTATTTGCAAGTAGAAGTACATGCAGGTTATTTTTGCTCTAATCAGGGCTCTTGCAACTCAGCGGAATACACATTCATGTTCCTCTCTCTGTCAAAAACATCTGAAATAATTTTCACACGCTGACCGGGAACTAAAGTTTTCACTTTTAGTTTTCAGCCCCACACCAAAATTCCATCCATATATTAGGGAGTGAAGTAGTTCACATCAAGCAAGATGAAATTTGTGCCGAAGCGATGGCTTTATTCTAATATTTTACGGTAAAGCTTTTCATTCTGAGATCCAGGCTCTTTTATCATTGTTAATTTGAAATTCCAGTGTACCATGACATTGAGTCCAAGTTTCAAGTGACGAGAGTCAGGATCAGGAAGCAGAATAAAGGTACATGCAGACTTTGACAAAGTGAATAATTATGCAGATAGCACAGAAATGATCTCATTTCATGCTTGTGAGCTGGAACCTGTGTGTATATAGAGTGCTTTCTTGCGGCTTCACTATTTCAACTTGGGGGTAATGCCCTCCATCCCACTTTTGACAGGTCCTGTATTGGCTGATGCTTGATGGTCTCAGAAATGTACCCCCTCTTTGAAAATTGTGTTGTCGCCATTGACAGTGGCGCACCCTCAGTCTGGTGACTAGTGAGAAAGCTGTAATAAGTTTCCTTGATCATGCATTTATATTTTATCGAGTAATCACACTCTGTCTTGAGCTGTTCGACTTTATGAAGCAATGTAGTGAAACAAACTTTGAATACTGTGATATGAGACATGTTTTTTAATCTCAATGAGGATGTATATTTTGCTTTGGGTCCTGTGTATTTTTCAGGGATGAAAAAAGCCATGACTTATATTACAATTAGCAGTAATTAATACCAGCTTTTATTTTTGGAAGGGGCAGAGAGGGCACTGTGCATTCTTGTTGCTGTGCCACTGATGACACACTGTTTATTTCTTCTTGTAGGCTACGGGCTTCGTTGTCATCGAATCCTAAAAGAGATCTGTAGGCTAGCTGGCATCAGAGACTTGTATGCCAGAGTGTATGGCTCTACAAACCCAATCAATCTTACTGTAGCCTTCGTCAATGGGCTGGCAAGCCAGGTAATGATTGCTGATATCCACACTGTAATGCAAAAGAAACACCCTCAATCTGAAAGGTCAGCATGTGTGGACCCAAGATGGCAAAATGAGCCTTTGGAATGTCTTTTTGAGGAAACTTAATTTTCTTTGTTTATCTTTCAAGCACATGATCATAAACTTGAGTAGTACATGAGTGGGAGTGATTCTACAGTGCATGATTCTGCACATTTTATGGTCAGTGTTAGTTTACAAAGACAGAGAATAGTTTATCAAAAAATCAATCAGTTTTGCAGAAGGCTTATTGTGCTTTGGCATCTAAAACAAAAGAATAATCTCAAAATTGTACACTACACAAATTGGTAATTATCAGAAATTAAAGAGCCCCTGCATACCCAGAAATACACAAATATCAGAAACTCAGAATTTTGAGTTTTGCCGTTTTGCCATTGGAAGGGCATGTGAATCCCTTGCAGGTAGCTTAGAATATATTACATTCATTTTCTATGCAATATTCCCAACCTTATAATTATTCTTCATTCATTAACAAAACTTTTTTTAATTGAAAGTGGAAATAATAGATTGTAATATTGCCTTTCATTTCCACTTTCAGTTTTAAAAAGCCTCTTTGGAAAATAGCCCATTATCCACGAGTCTACATGTTTGTCATGATAAAAGCTAACACTGCTAGTAGGCAATGTGAGTTTTGTAATGAAATTAGTATTGAGTAGATTGCAGCATTTTCTCACAGAGAAATAGAATATAAATATTGCGATATTGTGCCTACTTTCAACAAGACATGTATTAGTTGTTCGCAGTACCCACTGCTACATCTGATTTGAACTAGCCAGCCGACACTGGCAAGCTCGGTGGTCAAGTGGTTAAGAAGTCTGCAATAGTGAGCAGGAGGTCGTTGGTTCGAGTCCCACTCGAGTACGCTTGTGGGGTTTTTTTTCACAAGCCTTCAGGGGCGTACACTGAGCATACAGTGTTAAAATACACGTCGGGAAGGGCAAAAATCCAAATTAAGACATGTATTAATTATCAACAAAGTGGGACTGGTTGACTGAATTGATAGAGAACCCAATATGGCATTCCATAGGACACAGATTGAAACTGTTCCAGACAATTTGATCAGTCCCTGTCCCGGGCATAAAATTGAAAACCTTGCCTTTGAGTTGCAAATATGGCATGGGGGGGGCTATTTTTCCTTATTGAAAAAAGGACAAATGATATTCCCCTTTGAAAAATGGAAAAATAAGCAACAGAAAAAAAAAAGAGGAAAGGAAAAAAGCAAGAAAAATGGAGAAAGGAGGAAAATCACCAAATTATTCGAATATCTTGGAATTCGACCCCCTTCAACCATTCATGGTTTCTCAACATGCTGCTGATGAGTGGTTTGCCGCCTCCCAGAGAAAACCCTGCCTCCCCCATCCCCAAGGGGGGATGCCCTTGCACCAGCTTAACGTACTGCAGCTAGCTGGATGGGTTTCTCTCCATGTCGCCACTGCCCATGATTCAGTATCGGCAATTTAACTTGGTGTCTGTTTTAATTCTTGTTTGTGCAGGAAACCCATCAGCAGATTGCCGACAGGAAGGGCCTGCACGTGGTGGAGTTCCGCAAAGAGTGCGGCGCCCTCCCCATTATTGTTGCCTCACCGCAGAGCGCAGCGCCCCGCGATGATGTGGAAGAGGAACCTTGGGACAAAGAGCTCCCTCTAGAGTGGAAGGAGGAACGACCCAGGAGACGTGTCAGCAACTTCGTCCGAGAGGGCACCATTTTCTTCTGAGGATACCCTTGCATACAAACTTTATAGAATGCATTGTTAAACCTTTGATCTCGATTGTCAATGAAGTTTCCCCCTAAAAATGGTGGAGGTGTGGAAGGGATTGTCGGGGGAAAGAAAGAAATGAAAAAACCCTCTCTGATCAATTTGGTGAAATAGAAAGGTAGGAATGTTTCGATATTCAACCTCTTTCCTACTAAAACATTTTGATCAGGAGACAGTGATGTATTTAATAGCGTAATAAGGAAAAGATTGCTGCATCAATTTTAAATCATGGATTTTTGCCCTTACGCTGATGCATATTCATAACACTGGTCGCTCAGTGTTGTCCATGGGTTCAAGAAACAATTCACAAACTTGTAAGAGCAAAAACCCCTGATTGAAATGTTGCAGTAGTTTGTATTACTACACTTCATTAATATTCATCAACAAATTGGAACGCGTCATGGGCCGATTCCGCCGCACATCCGGGAAGTGGAAATGAAATGAACCCGGTTGACGTCATCCTGGTGAGTATCCACCCTGCTGCAGTGTGGTAGGTTTTTTGGTACATGTAGCACCAAAAATTCCCTCTAGAACCTGTCGCGTCGACTCGTAAAGCCTGGCAAATGGTTGACTACAAGTGATGCACTGTTTTCCCCCGACATTTTTCTTATAACTGGTCCTCTCTCAAATGCTGCTAAAAACGGTTTATGGCAACCAACGACACGACCAACCTTGTTAGGCTAGTCGTAAAATAGTTGATTAGACTAGTCCAACCATCGTCAACTAGCGTGCGTTCAACCAGATTGAGTCGAACTATGGTTAACTATGGTCTTTGATCAAACTTGCCAGGCATGGCACACAGAAGTCTGCATGCAGGGGTAAGTGAGGGTGTAAGTGAGGGCGATGTCTATGGTTATTATAGTTTGACTAAAACTGCCCAAACGATGGATGGTTTGGATGATCTAGTCAATCATTTGGGACCAGGTCCAGGGGTATGGTCGCACTGCTGGTTATCAGTAACCGATTTCATTTGTCATTACAGAGGGAATCGTTCACATGAAAATAATTGTACGAGATTTCATTAACCATGTAGCCTACGCTGCGAGAATCACAGCTAACTGCGAGATGTGAGCACCAGTGACTTATTAAAAATTGCCCGACTAGGGTTGTCCGAGTGTAACTGAATTAAGCATGCACATTGTCAATAAACAATTGACTACTGGTCAGGCTATAGTTCGCGCTTGAACTTGGCCTCAACTCTACGAGTACGTTACTAGATTTCCATCATTCTATGAGTTGAATATTTCTAAGGTGTAGTAAAACGAATACAGCATTCACATTGGGAGGTAGTCAAGCTGACCTACACCTTGGGACCAGGAGTTCTTGGGTTCGAGTCCAACCCCAGTAATGTTGTATTTTTTTCCCAAGCTCTTGGACAAACATTCAGCTCGCAGTGTTATGAATATGCGACGATGTAAGGGCAAAAAAACCACTACATGTATTTAAAAACTAATCACCCCATCGCAAAGTACATTTCTGAATTCTGTCTTTTGATATGTGGTTAAACATCATTGTATATGGCATGAACACTTTGCCTCACAGGAGTGAAGCCCAAACAGGCATCAACTGTCATGGGCGCCGCCAGGATTTTTTCCGGGGAGGGAACTTTTTTTGACTGGCAATGGAAAAAAATAAAACAAACCTGGCGATAGACAAGAATTGATGATTTATGATAAACCCATTAAAGGGTGTAGTGGCGATAAATTTTAAAGCAAATCCGTCACTGTCATCCCATTTCCTCTCTTATTTCTATTTACTTCGTATTTTCCAATGTTTTTTAATGCCCCGATTTTTTAAGGTGGCCCCCTCTTGCCCTCCCCTCGCGACGCCCATGGCAATTGTTATGGTATCTCTCATCTGCCGAATGTCGTCCTCTGTTTACGTCCCTTTAGGTGTTCAATCCAAAATAAAATTGCTTCAAAATGTTGTGCTTCAAAAACTTCCTCCCAAGATTGCACTGCATGAAATCTCAGACATCAGTTTTTCAGAAACTCAAATCACCTTGGCATAAAAACCATTGGCTGGGGAATGGGTAAACTTCTGTGAAAAACCATCATCCCGCTTGAAATGTAAGGGGAAAAATAGATTTTACTTAACATATCTGACACCGCCTGTAATATCCAGGTCCCCCACTGGTCCCTTCCAGGGTAAAAACCTTTGCTACGCTACTGCATCAGTGTCGACAGCAGAGCATTTGTTTAAAAAAAAATTCAAGACTGACACACTGAATTTATTTAAATGAGTAGGCCAACTGCTTTATTGTAGGTAAGTGCTCGTAAAATGTGCACAGTCCATTGGAAACAGTCTTAAAACTGTTAGCTTCTGATCATCTAATTCTGAGAGTTCTGATGAAGGGAAAGCCTTCCCTTTCCTCGTGGTTTTTGTTCTGACGTGTAGACAGTAGGCCCCCTATGCTTTTTTTCAATCAGTATTGGTATTTGTATATAATTGAAGCTTCTTTTGATTTAAAGTAGAGGGCTTGAGTAAAAGAAAGTTCACGAAATCGTAATACGAGACCAGGAGTCTCGACGGCTGCTGGTCCTTCCCGGTCAGAGGACATTCTCTGTAAGTCCAAGTCGGAGATCCTTTACCCACTATGCTTGACGTGCTGGACATTGTCCAACGACCTTTCAGGGTGTCGGGTTCTTCTGCAGATGCTGCGTCTAGTTCGGCCCAGGACTATCCTAGCCCAGAAATATACGGCATGGTCAAAGATCATTTGAAATAAAAGAGAAATGAGGAAAGCAAGAAAAATATGAAAATTCACCAAAAATTAAGGACGTACAAGTAGAAAATATATACCGGTCACTGACATGACAATGGGCTTAACAAAGAAATGTTCAATATCGGTGAGAGGGTTTGGATTTTCTAATGTGCTGGTTTTAGCTGGCATTTATTGCAGTTTCTTAAAGGAACTTACGAGCTTTGTCCTGGCTCTCGACTTAAGCTGCCTTTGGTGGAGTGAGCCAGGCGGTATCGCCCATGAGAATCAAAGAACCCCCACCGTTTGAGTCGTTTCTCCGACTTGACCCGCTTCCCTACCTCCACTTCTGCCCATTGTTCAAGGCAGCGTTGTCAAGCTGTGTACATCCACATATACATGTACACTGTACAGAAAAACGTTACTCGTAGCCAAGCCGTTAACTAATTGTGCAATTTTTNCGGCTGGATGATGATGCTCAACTGTGTTTACTCGCACGGTGCAACATATCAAGATCACACAGAGAGACATGCACTCGGCACCATCAATGGATCATCGGGCGCACGCACTGTCTTTATTACCTCACGATTTAGTAAGCTGTGGAAGTATGGTAGATTCATGTTAAGCAAATGCTATCGACGTGAGTGTGCGGAACTAGGGACTTTACACTAAGTAAGTTTTGCGCGACAATATTTGGGAAATTACAGATCACTGTCACTTCAAATGAAAACCGAAATTCCACTGAAATAGCATGCTCACTCATCGAAATATCTTGGTCAACGTAGGAAATAATTTTGTTTGGAAATCATGCACGGAATATCATGGGGGAAATATTGATGGGTAATCTTTATAAATGTTTACTTTAATAATAGGATGAGTTAAAAGTGAGGTTACAATGAATTGACTAAATGTGAAATTTAAAAGCAGAACAGAAGGACAAATAATAAAATTATACAAATAAATAAGTAAAAATGACGAAGAACGATGAAGTAAAAGAAAAAAAGGAGAATACATAAAATGAACAAGACAGTATTATCAAACATACAAGTGACGAAAATAGTCACAGAAAATCCCTCTTGGGAAAATGTCATAGAAATCCATCATAAACACTTACCGGTACGAAATCCTTTGAGGTTGAGATATTCTTGTAAAACATCATTACTTCTACCCAAATACCCATCCACAAGTTTGTCGGGAAATGCTTTTCCTATTTTGGGGCACATTTTGAAGGAGTTCATGGGGCGAAAATAAAATTTCATCCAAACTTTGGAGGAGGTACGTAAAATTAAGATATATCAATCAGAACATTGAGGGGCTTGATGAAGTTTCACTCATTGTGAAATTTGAGCTAAAAAGACACAAGAAGCGAAAAATGAAATTCTGCCACATCAGGGGCCGCGCCACGTTAGGGTACATCAACAGTACTTTAATCAGTGTTGGTGGCGTTTGTTACAATGTGTTTGATGTTTGGAGTAGTTTAGTAATTGTCAGTAGATCTTTTTCACCCACGTGACTGGATTGCGCTAAATGTAAACAATACCACGAGTGGACCGCCTTGGCCACGGTGATCGCATATATTCCTACGGTCAGTTTCAACCACCTGCAAGCGCACGTACGAACACATGCCAGACTACATTTGAATAGGCAGATAACCATCGCAACACTATGCACTCATTACCATCACAACACATCAGAGGTCCAGCACGATCGTGCATTTGAAGAAAGATATGGGACGGAGAGAACCCCCCCGGACAGGTAAGAGGGGGGTACCCCTCCGTGCTTATCTTGCCTGGTATACAATCGTGACATCACAGGAAAAAGGTCTATAGCCTGTGTCATTGCGTTTGACGCAATAATTCAGTATCACAACTGCGATTTCTGTATATCTGTCAGCTGGGGTCCCTTTTTATTTGTCAAGTATTTTTAAAGAATGTACTTTTAACTATATGCATTCTAAAAAAAAAAGAATGTACTGTGAACGTTACCTGTACATTCCTACAAAAGAACATCTTGATAAATTATCATAAAAGTACTGTTTTACATACATTCTTTCGGGTAATTGACAGTTTCGTGTACCGGATGACGTCACCAGAGTGGTTTCCGAGTCAGTTCGACAGTGTCGCTGTACCTCCCGTTTTGCAGCTGGCTACGGAGAAATACGACAGCAAATCAACGGGGTACCTCAACGGGGTAACGGGAATCCTCACCTTCGAGTGAGATACATTTTGGTTTAAAGTGGTTGTTTAAAACGATGAAATAATCAGTTGATCGATCGCACAAAGAAAGATAGAGAAGCAAAGAAACGTATCTCGCATAGGCCTAGCTAGTGTATTTTTATGGCTCCATCTAGTGACACTGCTCAGTCGATTCATCGAACGACGATGACTTTATTTTGGTCACTTCGAAAGGTTCAAGATTTCCACTTTTCTGGATAGCCCACACGCAACTCATGCAACACGAAAATGAGATTGATGAAGAAATCAATGAGAACCATTTATACTCCTCAAAAAGCTTATCCAAAACTTATTTTTGTTAACAAAACGTTGTTTATCGGTAGTCTGCAACATGCACGGCCTTTGCGGCCTAAATGTCATACCTCCCGAGGGAAGCACACGGTAATCAGAAAATACGTTCCACGAAATGAAAAAGACATTGAATACAAAGACTTAATACATAAAGCAAGTTTAGCAAAAACTCCAACTTTTCGCATGACTTTTTTTTTTTGTCAGCTGAATGTACTCACAAGGTAATGATACTGCCTGGAAAGATTTAGCCGTAAAATCTCAGAAATGCGCTGTATTGAAACCTAGCTGAAAGGAAATTACTATTAGATGATGGGAAGCACATGCAGTCTATAAATCATTGCCATTTTCATTGTAGACTTGCATCGATGAAGAGATCGAGTTCGTCTGAGAGCATGATATAAAAATAACTTTTAAATGAAGTCACTGTCGCTTGATAATGAACAGTTCGAGACTCAGACTGTGCACCAGCAGTCAACTATCACATATCACCTGATCATGGCTTGACCAACTTTGAAACTTAAACGGCGGTGAAGAACACGCAGGGCATACCTCGCGTTTGCCCTCTTTACCCTAAAATCATTTTTTTTTTTGGAAATGAGGATCTTGCAAGCTTTGCGGGGCCTACTTGCTGCGTGTTAATGTATTCTATTCTAAAAACAAGGCTCGCGCGATCACTATTTTAATTAAAAAGTGGTTTGTTGGATTTTGATGCAGACAACAGAAAAAATAGAAGTGCTTAAATATTGCAGAAGTGGGTTAGACCATTATTTTGTTTCCTTACTCTATGGTCACAGCGTCCCCTTAACATACTTCCCCTTTAGAATAGGAAGACAGCTATGAGTACTGTACCCCAAACTCATGGTCAGCGAAGAATGATAGCTGGTGGAACTTCTCGTCTTACCAGCAGCGGCCGCCCATGGAATTCGTTGGACCTGGTTCACTCATGACTTCAGTAAGACATTTTGCCTTGTTGTATTAGAAGTTGATGGGTGACAGAAATCAATGTTTTGCCTACAAAACTTTCGCCCGTACATTTCACCGCCTCTCATCATCCTGTTTGGACTCCAACTACGGTAGTTTTCCCGAAATGATAGTATTTGTAGCATTGTTATGCAACAACATCAGTAAGGATCTTAATACAGCATGCACTGTTCAGGTTTTGCAAAACCCCTCTAGCTACTTCCCATGTCTTGCAATCACGAGCTAAATCTTTCTAGTGCTTCACCTTGCCTTGCCCAAGAGCATAGCACATTATGACCGTCCCCGTGAGAGATTGTTAATTGCGCCCTCTGCTGAACATTGCACTCTCATCCTTCCGTCAAGTTTGGGCCCGATAGACGAAACATCTCACGGGACAGAAACTCTGGTGAAATTTAAAAGATGACTCAGCTTCAAACAGTATATGCCACTGAAGCGTGCCAAATGGGGACTGAAATGCTTCTCTTTCCACGAGTAAGAAACTGTGCAGGCGTGGCATACATAGTGCAGGCCTCTGTACAAAAGAAGTCCACATAATGTAGGGGGTGATGACGTTGTGTGGACTTGCACACGTCCACACAATGTATTTGCCCTCTCTGAAAAACAGTTTCAGAGTCATTTTTGGGTTAGGGTTGTCTGTGGCAAAATGAGGAGGAACAGTCCAGGAAATCATCATCAGAAATCCAGCTGGAAAGAGATACCCTATAGGGGGAGAAAAAGGAACATTTCCCTCAAGTTTCCTTGACCACAGGAGAACAAAGGAATGCCCATGTATGTAAAACAGGTAGTATCGGCTATACATGTGCCTGGGAAATGTTCACGGTATTCAGTCCCAGTGTTACAGTAAAGTACATTGCAATTTGCACGGGTACTTCATTATGCCGAATTTCCTCGATTTCGTGATGAGAACGTATACGAATACTGAAAAAAATTCGAATACCTGTACACGAATGCCCCTACACGGTATTGTTTCCTCTGCTTTCCTTGGTGCCAGTTGTAGACGCTCCATTTTGGAGAGTGGTATTACAACTGCGTGAATTGTATTTATTTTGACCCAAAAGCTGTTGTAAATGATTCAAAGTTGCTACATGGATGTCCTCCACACTCCCAAAGAAAAGAAATGGCATTGATTTTTTTCAGGTGCTGGGGTTGGAGTGAGGTGCAACCGAAGATCTGACTGGCTATGAGCGGAGTGTGTCTCTATGGTCAGCACAAGCCATAAACATCAAAGGGGCCCGACCCCATTGAAAGGGTCCTTGGAGGGCATTTCCATTGATAAGTGCATTTTAAGCGTATTTGTTTTAATCAAGTAATTAGCAAAACTGTATTGTTGTAGGCATGGTTAAGGTTTACATAATCTCATTCTACTGCAGTTCAACGTTTTTCCCATCACAGTTGGCATCAACAGGGAGGGACCTCACTTGGGATTTGGATCTTGTAGTACTTAGCGCTACACATTATGAGCATTACACTTTTTCCAAAACTCTAAAGTTGCCCGGCAGGCCAATAGGAGCCTATATCCCCATTGTTATAAGAAGGTTGGGACACGACACATGACTTTCCGGACCAATTCTGGAAACTACAATGTCACAAATCGAAAAAAAACGTCCATGGTACCTTTTGGAGAAAGCGGCTGCACGATGTGTCAGCAACTGCAACCACAGCTCACTGCAATGGTGGAACAGATTCCTCGTCAGTACCCTCGACAAGACTGCTGGACGCTGTTGTGTATACAAATCACTGCTTGTTCAGTTAAGGATTGAGGTGGTATAGAAGCTCCTTTCACCTACAAGAACAACGTAGCACTCAGTGGTGGTAAACCATCCTGTGCGGTTCCATCGTTTTGATGATTAGTGCTATTGTAAGCCCAGATTCTATCCCATTTTACTCCAAAGCTTGTTAGAGTTCAAGGCTTACATTCTTTCCAATTTAGACCCGGAGATTAAGGCTTCCCTCTTGACATTTTTGAGACCCATAAATTCCAGTTAGGATCCATCTTCTGCCCTCAATGTGATTGGTTCACACAAAT